TTTCCTCAGAGATGCATTAAGTAACATTCTTTAGGTTAATGAGAATAATCTTCAATAGTAACATTAAGCAAGTAGCTGAGAATATTTGCAAAGCAGGAACAGTTCATAGTTAATAAGCATGATGGGAGTTGTCCTCCATATAATTAGTAGCTTGAAGCACGGAGTGTATTTGCAAAGCAAGAAACAGTTCATTGTGAATAAGCATGATGGGAGTTGTCCTCCATATAATTAGTAGCTTGAAGCAGTGAAGATTTAGTAAGCAAGCATTAGTTCATTATTAAATGATATTGTAGACAAATAGCTGAAAGATATACTTAAGGTTAATGTGAGTAGTCCTCCAATAGTTCAGAGGTATGGTCCACTTGTAAAGTAAGTGAGTTTCTGTTCTCCAGTAATCCTCTATGGCATGAAGTATACTTTTCTTAGCCCAGAAGGCTAGGACAACATCAGAGCTTGTAGAGTCGGCGTGTCCCAGGAGCCGGCGTGCATACTCGGAAGTAGGACCCACGTTGCCAGAGCCTGTGAAGAGGTAAGTCTGGCGGAAGTAGCTCCCAGTATCACCAAGCCCCCTCTCTCTGGCGCGGTCTCCCTAAATACCGTCAGAGCTGCATCAGAGGGGGGCGGGGTCCGGCTCCGCACAGCGGAGTGCCGAACCCGAAGTGTTACCGCATGACAGTGCCTTTGGAGGACAAACAAATGATATCTCTTTCAAATGTTCTGGCAACTCTCACTATGCCCAGCCATGTGCCAGAACCTACCATTGACTTGTCCTCAATCCCTGATTCCTTATGGGCTACAGGGAAGACAGATACAGGCAGACTCTCTGTGCCCACAGTCAAAGTGAATCTCCTGCCCAGAGCCAAACCTCCCTATCAAAAACAATACCCCCTAAGCCCAGCACAGGAAGATGCTATTTCCAAATCTGTGCAAGAGTTTCTGCAGGCAGGGGTAATTGTCCAGACCACCTCCCCTTGTAACACATCATTGTACCCAATTAAGAAAAATCATGAGAAAGGGAAACCTATGGTCTACCGTATGGTACATGATTTGAGGGCAATTAATGCTGTAATTGAACTCATTGCCCCTAATGTTCCCAACCCACACACCTTGTTGGCACAAATACCACCTTCCTCTAAGGTATTTACTGTTATTGACTTGGCAAATGCATTTTTCAGTGTCCCCCTGGATCCCGACAGTCAGTTTTTATTTGCATTTACACATTAACACAAGCAGTACACTTGGACAGTATTGTCACAGGGCGCACAAAACTCACCCACTATGTACAGCATGGCTATGGCACAGATTCTTGAAGAGTGGAAAAGGCCAAATAATGTAATTTTTATTGCAGTATATTGAGGACCTAATCCTATGTTGCGATAATATGGAGACTTGTATTGTAAACACGCTTTCCTTACTGAAATTCTTGGCAGAGGCAGACTGCAGTTCAAAATATTACACCCCCCCTCGCAGCCTAGCCTAGCTACGATTCATACTGCCGACCTTGGCTTCTACAGCAGTCTACATGCAGCCCCTGTATGATTGTCTCGCCAACAAAAACAAACCCTTTAAATTAACCCATGCTGCATAAAATGCTATATCTGTCCTTACACATGACCATGATGGTAAACAAAGACTAATAGCGTACTACTCCATCAGTTTGGACCCTGTTGCCAGGGCAGTGGGGTTGTTACTGCCCTCTTGGACAAAGCCACTGATATTGTCTTAGATAACTCAGTGACCATATACACACCGCATGACATCAACAGCATACTGTCACTAGTTCAACCAAAATACCGTATTTAACGGCGTATAACACGCACCGGCGTATAACACGCACCTCATTTTAAGAAGGAAATTTCAGGGAAAAAAACCCTTAAATTTCAAATAAAGAACTTCTTACCCCCTTCTTACTCCCCCTCCCCCTCTTCTTACCCCCCTTTCTTACTCCCCCCTCCCCCTCTTCTTGTTTCCCCTCTTCTTTTCTTACTTCCCTTCCCCTCCTCACTTCTACTCCCTCCCCTCTTTACCTCCCTTCTACTCCCCTCCCCTCTCTACCCTCCTCTTCTGCTATACTCTCTCCCTCCCCTCTTCTTACCTCCCCTTTTCTTACTTCCCTCTCCTCATCTTACCCTCCCCTCTTTCTACTCCCCTCTTTCTACTTCCCCTCCCTCTTCTTACTCCCCCATCCCCTCTTCTTACCCCCTTCTTACCCCCCTCCCTTGTAGTTTCTGTTTCCTGTACCCGGTCGGCCTGACAGGAAGGTGCACACTGAGCGTGCACCTTCCTGTCACTCCGGCCGGGCACCGCGGGCACAGAGCAGCTCGGCCACGCTACAGGGGAGGGGAGGTGAGAACCAACTGCAGCCGCCTGAGCGCTCTTGACAGAAGGGCCGGCGTATAACAAGCACCCATAATTTGCCCCCTATTTTCAGGGAGAAAAAGTGCGTGTTATACGCCGATAAATACGGTACATACATACTGCAAGGCATCTCAGAAAGCAATGTGCCTTGCTTATGCCACCTAAGGTTACTCTGAAAAGGTGTATGGTGTTAAATCCATCTACATTACTTCCCCTGGATTTAAAAGAGGGGAGTGGGGATAGTGGGAATGGTACTTGTACATCTGATCTTTTTGTAAATTCACATTCACCAGATGAGTTAGCTGATGCCCAGGTACCCCATGATTGTGCAGCACTAATGGCACAAGAAACAACAGTTTTTTGCATGTAATTGATTCTCCATTATTTAATGCAGATTTTGAGTTTTTTGTAGATGGTTCCAGATATGCTGATGGGAAGGGTAATTTCCACACTGGATATGCTGTAGTTTCTGCACATTAGGTAATAAAAGCTGAACCACTCGCTCCTCACTGCTCTGCACAGGAGGCAGAGCTGAAGGCACTCGCTGAAGCGTGTAAAATGGCTTCTGGTAAGACTGCTAATATTTAGCAGTTGCCCTCTATGCTTTCGGTATAGCTCATGATTTTGGCCCTATATGGCAGGCCTGTGATTTTCTCACCTCAGCAGGATCTCCAATCAAGAACTCTGAAGCCGTGAGTGCACTTATGGACGCTATCCTGCTACCCACTCAAGTAGGCATCATCAAGGTGGCAGCCATAGGCGTGCGCAGCCTATTGAATTAGGGTGTGCACCCTAAAGCACAAACACACGCCGCGTGTATATGTATGTGTGTGTATATATATATATATATACACACACACACACACACACACATACATGCAATGCTGTGTGTGTGTGTGCTGCATGAGGGTGGTTTGAGGGTGTTGTGTGTGTGTGTGTGTGTAAGGGTGCTGTGTTTGAGGGTGATGTTAGTGTAATGTGTGTGTGAGGATGCTGTTTGTGTGCTGTATGTGTGTGTGAGGGTGTTTGTGTGTGTGTGTGTGTGTGTGTTTGTTAGGGTCCTGTTAGTGTGCTGTGTGTGTGAGGGTGCTGTGTGTGTGTTTGTGAGGGTGCTGTTTCTGTGCTGTGTGTGAGAGGGTGCTGTGTGTTTGAGGGTGCTGTATGTGTGTGGGTGCTGTATGTGCGATGGTGCTGTGTGTGTGGGTGCTGTATGTGTGTAAGGGTGCTGTGTGTGTTTAGGTGCTGTATGTGTGTGCTGTATGTGTGTGGGTGCTGTATGTGTGTGCTATATGTCAGTGGTGTACTAAGGGGGGGTGGAGGGGGTGGTCCGCCCCGGGTGCCAGCAGGGTGGGGGGTGCCTTGGGAGGAGGCGTTGTCCCCCCCATGCTGCAGCCGCCCGAGCGCTCTGTAGAAAGCCTCAGGCGGCTGCAGCTTTGCCTGGGCGCAGCCTGAGGAGAGGGGCTGACAGGAGGGAAGCGCTCAGCGCTCCCTCCTGTCACTCCCTCTGTTGTAGCATGGCCGAGCCCTGTCTCCTGTACCCTGCCGGACTAAAAGGAAGTGCACACTGAGTGTGCTCCCTGTACCCGCGGACCATAGAGCGCTCGGCCACGCTACAACAGTGGGGGGAGAAAGAAATTAGGAGGAAGTGGGGGGGGAAGAAAGAAATTAGGATGAGGTGGGGAGGGGAAGAAAGAAATTAGGATGAGGTGGGGAGGGGAAGAAAGAAATTAGGATGAGGTGGG